ATCCCACTTGTACTGAGCCTTGCTGTACCCCACTAGTAACAGCCTGCCATCGGAGAATGGCCTGTTTATTCCGGCTCTCTGCTTTCTGTCTGTTAACCAATCCAAAATCTCTCGCTATAATCCCAGCTCCAGTGCCATGGGGTTGAGTTTTATTTACTAAACTCTCGTGTGGGACCTTCTGAAAATCCCAATCCACCAGATCCACTGGCTCTCCTTTCTCTACGCTTCAGTAACAACACCGTCAGAAAGTTCCAACAGGCTTGTCAAACAGCCTTTCTCTTTTATCAATCCATGCTGACTCTGCCCAATTCCTCATCCTTTCCAAATGTCCAGCTCGCACATCCTTTAGAACCGATTCAAACGTTAACCCCCACCCCCCGCACTCCTCAGATCAAACAGCCTTGTCACTCTCTCTCTCTCTCAATGGAGGGCTGACAGTCACAGCTCCCTCCCTCCGTCCCTCCCTCTCCCTCCTCAGTGTTCTGCCTCCTCCCTGTGTCCCTGAGCTCTGTAGCTGCTAGTTGTGTCCCATTCCTAGGGGGACGGGCCAATGGTGAGGGCGGAGCTCACCGCACCCCCACCCCACCCCCTCCCCCCAGCTCCCGGTGGCGGGGATCAGGAAGTGGAAAAGGAATTGGAGCTGATGGATGCGCTGAGACGGGGAACACCCTCTGACTGTCTCTCTCCCTCCCCCTCAGCTTAGGAAGCTGTTCCTACTCTGGGAACTCACAGACAGCCCGGGACAGAGGGAAAGGGAGAAGGGGATAGAGAGAGGGACAGAGAGATAGAGAGGGAGGGATAGAGAGAGGGAGAGAGGGAGAGATGCAGCGGCCGCACGGACACGGCACCGCTTTCTCCATTGATTCCCTGATCGGTTCCCCGCAGGCCCGCTCGCCCCAGCTGCTCTACACCGGTTACCCGATGCTGATGCCATACCGGCCGCTGGTTATTCCTCAGGCACTGCCGCCCTCCCCGCTCCAGTCCGGGATGCCAGCTCTCAGCCCGCTCGCCTCGTTCGCCAGCCGCCTGACCAACAGTTTCTGTGCCAGCCTGAGCCAGGGGGTCCCCTCTATGGTAGCTCTAACCACGGCGCTGCCCAGTTTCAGTGAGGCAGCAGAGAATTACTATCCCCCGGGCCAGGAGCTAGCGGCTCCCCGCTCCAGCCCCGAGGCCAGCTCCCGGGCAGTGGAGCGAGAGGAATCGCGGGCGGACAAAGCGGAGCTTCCGCACTTCGCGCACAACTTCCCAGCTCTCACAGGTGAGTCCGCAAAACCCGCGGAAAATCCGCCTCAAATCTGCGTAAACCACCCGCAAAACCCGCGCAACGTCCGCGTAAAATCTGCGCAAAATCCCCGTAAACCAGCCGCGCACGGAGCGCGGTGCCAGCCTGCCCCCCCCACCCCCCCACCCCCCCCCCCCCCCACCCCGCGGCTCCGTCCCCGTGGGGTGGTAATGGGCGGGGGGTGTGAGGGGCTGGGGGTGAGATCGGGTTCTTCTCGG